AAATCATGATCTATTTTTTCTAAGAAAATCTCTATTTATTTTCCTACTTTTTTTACTTTCCGGGATCTCCTCAGATATTGGGAGATTTCATGGTGGCGGCGGCGACACCCCTGGAAGCGCGCCTCTGGGCCATGTGCCGAGCGGTCTTGTGGCCAGCTAGGGCTCAGCCCTAGGCCTCGCTTGGCCATTTGGCCCAACGTGGAGGATCCCATTTAGGAGCGTGACATATCCCCCCGTTCTCCGCACAACGCGTCCTCGTGTTGTATCCTTGCTTTGTCGTTGATGCTACTCGGGGATGAAGAAAGCTGTTCCAAAGGTTGCCGGCTCGGTATTGAAGATATGATGCACCCCAGCTTGTTCTCTTTGTGGTGGTTGACGAATTCGTAGTAGAGCTGGAGGTTGTTGATGTCGCTAAAGATGAGGATGTGTTGTTTCTCGGTGGGTGGTCGATGTTGGCCCAAGTGCATCTCGAGTGGCACTAGTGAAGAGATGGTGGCCTCCAGAGTTATGTTGTGTGTCGATGTTGTTGTTCTCCGCAAAAAGGAGCATCGAGGTGATAGTGCCCCGTAATGGTGTCAAATAATCGAAGTATTTGTTGGGGCTGAATATGAATATGATCCCCTGATCGATTGACCAAGCCGGTGTTGTGGTGTCGCCTATGATGGTAGCAGTGGCTGCACCCCCTGGCGGTGCCGCCTGCTGCTGCTGTATTTCCTCTAGCTGCATGACAGGTTGTTGAAGCTCCATAGCTGCAAGGTATTGTAGGGAGTTGACATAACTGTGGAGGTCGGTGTTGTCTGATGTTGGGGTAAACTCTCTCCGGCGAACCGCTACTGTTCCATGGATGTTTATAACAGGGTAGGGGTCGTGATTTCCATTAGTAATATCTGCATTTGTGGCAGTATATTGCAGCTGGGTAACTTTGGTATTTTGGAGCTGGTGAGGTGTGGCTGCCATGTGCAAGAGGTGTTGCTTGTTGTCGATGGCAGATGATAACTGCATCGTGTGATCCTGCCAAAAGGGCCTCAATTTTATACTTCTCCATATCAATGTAAAGAGGGATATTGGAGCAAGCGGCAATGTTGATGAGCTTGTTGTTATTGCACCGTGTTGGTGGAGATGTGATGCCATGTGTTGCTCCCATTGCATTGATAGGGGTGCGCGGCATGCTGATATCTATCCAGATTAGCTGTATAGACGGAGAGTGTTGATTGGAGTTTTGTATCTATAGCTGGTTGCCTGGTTTTGCATAATCCGGCAGTCTCCTACCATTGCAAACTGATGGTGCCATGTATGAGAGTCCCGACTTCATGCTTATGTTGATGCTGATGGTTTCACCGGTTCCGGTGGTGGCATTAGGTGTGACGTCGGTGTTGTAGCTGGCGCATGTAGATGCATTTATGTTGGGCGTATCCTGCTGTGGTGGTTCATTGCCCTGTGCTGAGTGAATAGGGACCTCCAGCAATGTGGTGTCTTTGACAGGAATGAGGGTTTGATGCTCACGGTCATGATCGTCGCACTCCTTTTCAATGCTGTTGAAGTTCGAGGTTTTTTCTATGGATTAGAAGGTCGGGTATGATCCTGGTGCTACAGCCATGCTCAGTGTGCTGGATAGCATGGTTGATGTAGACGACCTTGGTGCGAGTATTGCTGGTGTAGATATGGGCGCTGTGGAGATTCCACTCGAAGGCAGTTTTTGATTTGCTATCGGTTGAGGAGACGATGAGCCTAGTGTTGACGGTGGATGGGCATGGGCGCCTTGGGTGACGCCTCCTCCAGATTGGCGATGAATAGCTTGTTTGTCACTTGCTCCACGATCTCTGGAATTCCCGACAATTTGGAGCGTTCCATCTGCTCCTGGAGGAAAGTGCACCCGGCCAGCCAGCTGTCTCCATTGCACGCTTGGTTTCCTCCTCGAGTTACTTGGTGGCGTTTTTGCAGTCCTACTTTGATGTGGTCATGGACTTGGAGTTGGTGTCTTGTTTGGTGGCCAAGTAGATCTCATCCGAAGACCCCATAACTGAATCTGTAGGGAGAAAGTCGGGGGTTGTTTTGGTGTCGAGCATGCTTAGTGTTAGCGTTGTTGTTGGTAGTGCTCCTCCTTCTAGCGCCATTGGTGCTTCTGTGTCCTTCTTAGAGCCTCCTTGCTCTATCTTGTTCAGGAAGGCGCTGATCTTGGTGAACCCATAGTTCATCTCGTTGATGTAGTTGTTGATGTTGGTGTCGAGGGTCTTGATCATCGTCTCTATTGTCAAGGTGGTGCTGGCCATCGGATCGATCTGGTCTCTGGATACTAGGTGTCACGGCCTTGCTCGGGGGTGGCCGGTTGGAGTGGCTAGGGCTAGTGGTGGAGGCAGCCCTGGGGCCGGTCGGCGACAGTGTGAGGCCACGCCGGCTGCTGTTGGTGGGGGCGGCATGGGCAGGGCTGGCATAGGGGATGGGCCTGGCGGCGGCGGCGGCTTGAGAGATGGGGATGAGATGGAGGCTTAGAAGAGAGGAGAGGAGATAGAGAGCTAAAGCCTAACTTTCTGCTTTAGATTAAAAGGTTACATCGCTCCTCTATTTATAGTCCTGAGAGACTTGACACTTAAGCAATCTAAACTTAACCTCAAAAAAACTATGGGAAGAGTCACTAAGGGAAGAGTCCTTGTAGAATTGGACTGCTTGCTTTACAAGCAAAGCTATTTATTTCTTAATCTAAACTTAACCTCCAAAAAACTATGGGAAGAGTCACTAAGGGAAGAGTCCTTGTAGAATTGGACTGCTTGCTTTACGAGCAAAGCTATTTATTTCTTAACAAATCTTGATCTACCTTTTCTAAGCAAGTCTCTATTTATTTTCCTACTTTTTTCTGACTATCGGGATCTCCTCAGGTATCAGGGGATTTCGAGGCAGCGGCGGCAGAGGCGCCCTTGGTTGCACACCTCTCGCGCTGTGCGCCGAGCGGACCTGTGGCCGGCCAGGGCTCGGTCCTAGGCCTCGCCAGGCCCATTTGACCCGACGTCGAGGGTCCCATTTAGGAGCGTGACACCGACAATTTCCAAAACTGCCTTAAAGATGCAAATACTACCACCCAGTAAATTTTTTACTGTAGTGGTGAATACCCTATCGATTTTCCATACGAGATTAAACTTTTATTGTATTTGGACTTATTATGGGCCTTGTAATTTATTTGATTTGAGATTAGATTAAGTCCTCAACTAAATCCAACAAAAATGGGTAGCTCATTATTATTTGCACGAGCATTTTGCCACAAATTTTGTATGCCTCGTCTGTTGTGCATATTTGTTAGTAAATATAAAAAATGGTTATCGCTGTATCTAATTCTATCAAAAATAATTTATATATATCTATGTTTCAGTCATCTTGAACCGTAACATTCCAACTCTCGTCATATTGTTCTGCAAGTTTCTCGATGAGATTTATGAATATTTTAGATAGTTTTGCCGACCCTAGAACGGCTCTAGATGAATTTCTTCGACAGATTCGATCCGAGAGGGCATTCCTAGATTTTCACGTTAGATCTACACAAACTAGCTAAGCCGGTTTTTAAAATTGCCCAGACCGGTTTCACATATTCATCGTTGGTTGTTGTGTTTTATAATCCAAGCGCACTAGCACTTTCCTTTTAGGATCTATACTGCGTCAATAATTAGCACTTTTCTTTTAGGAACCTACTAAGGGTCATTTACTCCTATTTCTCTACAACCACCGTTCGATCTTACATCATTTTAATCTTGTCCGTTCGTTGAGCCCCAGCCGTAGAGCTGAAAATCTTTCCCTATTCTGAGTACGAGTAAATGCACCTGAAAGTTTCATCAACATTTAATCATATGTCAGTTAGTTTTTTCCGTTGATTTTCATCTATACAAACCTGGAGACATGCAATACCGGAGGTGAACTAGCGGCATTCAATTTTGCATGCATGTCCAGTCCCCTCCCCCACAATCTAGAAACTGCTCAACGCTCATGCATCTGAAACGGCTCCTACGTCATTCCCACACCTTCATTCAAATTTAATTTCCATCGAATTGATTTATTGTTTGAGAGTTCGTAATCTAATTGTCTACATAAATCACCAACTGTTTGTGTCTGCTTGGTCGCACAATTATATCCCATCGGCATCAGGTTTGGATAATCATCCATTTTGGCGGTTCGACCTTGATACCTGCATGGCACGTCGGTCCTCCGCCCAGCCTCTCTCTCCTATTGCTAGTGCTCTCTCAGCTTGGTGCCTCTGTTTCTTCTGCAGGCAGTGGGCAATCCGGTAACCAACAATTAGAAGGTATTCACTAATCACTTCATTTTTCCTTGATTTGTCAATGCTATTAAGGTTTTCCAACAGAACTAAAACTACAGAGATAATAGTGGCTCAATTGATCTAGATATGAAAACATGTTTCATTTGATCACTCTATGAGCTCTTGCCTTTTGTTATCTTAGTTAGCCCAAGTTCTCTTTTAATAAAGGGTAACATTATTTCTGAAAAAAAAAATGGCACATGATGCTTTGAGATGCCAAAAGTCTCTTCCTCTACTTACTGTCGTTGATGCCTCAGGCATATTCTGAGATATTTACTGAATATCTGTATATTCTGCTGCAGGGCAGCGTAACATTGTGTATGTCTATCAGGTTGGTAATTCTCTCTTTTTTGGCGTCAGACCGTAATCTCTAAAACTCAACTATTTACCCAAGAAACTGCTACTTTCAACATTCCTGAAATTTCTGCAGCAACGCACAGAGAATTCGCCTAGTTTGTATGTATATATAGGTCCTCACGTAAACCAGCCAGTTAACCACAAACAAAAAGAACGATAGCTCATTCATTTACATATGTTCAACAAATCATAAGGTGCAAGTAGTTGCTCCTTGACCGAATCAACCGATAAATGCAATCGATCAAATAAACTTAGATGTCAAAAGAAAAAGATTACACACTAGACAGTTCACCTATAACCAATTTTCACATCGATGCAGCAATCATACCATTGCCTAATAGGCTCAAGAAGGGTTGACGAAGATCTCCAGGTCGAGAATCTCGGGGGTGACGGTCTTCCACAGCACATAGCCGCGCGCCATCCTGAACTGCCCCGTGCCGCCGACCACTGAGAGCTCCCTCACCGAGACGCTGACGTCGTCACGGCCCATCACCGTGAGCGAGCTGCCGGCGTATGGGCCCGAAGTAACAACGACATTCATGTTGACGAGGAACTCGAGGTTCGCCACCGACGCCACCATGTAGTAGCCCTGCGCGCGTCCCACCGTAGTGGACGATGCTGACGTCCCCTCGGTCAACTTGTCGTCGATCACCATGGTGTTGCCGAAGTTGCCCCGTGGACCGTTAACCACTCGCACCGCCGTTGCCGACGGGCCACCCGTCACGTCGTGCATGTAAAAGTGCAGGTGCGCCGATGCCGCCTCGACCCGTCGCATCGCCGGGCCGGCGGCGAGGACCACGAGCAATGCCAGCAACACTCCTAGGGAGAGCTTGGAGCAAGCCATGAGGAGAAACTGAGAGACGGGGTCAGGACAATGCTCTCTAGCCTGGCAATATACGCTTATACAGCAGGACGGAGATCGATAGAGAATCAATGAAAAAAAACAAAATGCTACAGCTGTCCCTGTCTACCTACCGAATGTGGTAGCAGTTGGATCGGATCGATCATGCATGTTTTATCGATTAAATATTTAACGACATGCAGCGACAAACATGGATCTATAGAACTTGTACAGCTGGACTAAAGGGAATAACAAAACACTTGATCCGAACAAAAATTTTAAGATCTCGCTGGGGTTCGATATAGGCCTCTTATACAAGGAAGGCTGTAATTATTGGTCACATGTACTTAGGCCTGTTTAGATAGACTACAACTAGTTGTCGGTCAGACGTGTACTAGAATTAGTTTTTGGTTGGCTAAGGGCAGTGTTAGGAACGTATATCGGTAGAGAATTCGAAGGATCGGGGAAGAAGTAAGGAGCAGGAAGAACACACACAGAAGTAGGGAGGAGGACAAGATTAGTTCAGAGTTCTGTTATGTTGATTCTTCTTACCCTCCTTCTCTCGCTACTCTCTCTTTAACACATTGGCATTAACAGCACATGATCCCCACAGGTGCAACCGTGGCTAGTGGCCTATGGATCACGCCCACTCGGGCTCACTGATCAAAGCACTCGGACGCCTCACGTGGTCACTGTTTCAGCACTGGCGCGCCTGCATCTTCCCGTGCCGGACCTGCTACAGTGTTTACCAATTCATATTTAGCTTCAGAGGTTGGGTGTTCAGTACCCGTAACATCCCCTCCCCGTTTAGGACCTGCTTGTCCCCAAGCAGGTGCACGCAGGAAGCGTTGACGAAGCGCTTAATAGTCCTCCCAGGTAGCCAATGAAGATCCGACCACTTGATGAGAATCTGTAGCACAACATCTGTGCCAACAGAGGAAACACGCCACTGCAACACACGCTCGGGTGCCTGAATGCCGTCGAGGGAACGAGGAAGATGCACAACCGACGGATCAGCTGGTATAGCCTGCTTGAGTTGAGAAACATGGTAGACGGGTTGAACCTGAGAAGACTGGGGTAACTGAAGCTTATAGGTGACTGAGCCGATGCGTGCCAACACTTGAAAGGAGCCGAAAAAATTATAGGGCAGCTTCTGATTGGCTTGGGGTGCCAGAGATGATTGCACATACGGTTGTAGCTTCAAGTATACCCACTGACCAACACTGAGTTCTCGTTCAGACCATTTCTTATCTACTTGTTGATTCATACGACACTAGGCACGCAAAAGCTGCTGCTGAATCCAGCCTTGCATTGATGTCGTGATCTGAAGCTGGTCAGATAAACCAGTGGACGGACTGACAGACTCCATGGTTGCCCATAGGATCACCGGCTCAGGAGAGTCAATCACTCACCGGTCTTACCGAGTACCCGCTAGTGTTGTCGAGTACCCACTAGCCGTGCCGACCACAACAGATGTTGTGCGACCACACACTATGGCTAGAGGTAGAAGAAGAATGAAGAATAGAGCATACAGCAGAGACACCAGCATTGGCCGGAGCCCTGTATACGAGATAGCAAAACTGAACTCTCTTTGTTGAGTTGCAGTGGCAAACTATATATACAGCTCTACCCATCTAGTCCTAATACAGTTGCCCTGCTGCAACAGTTACTAGATAACACAGTAGGACTGACTTCTGCGCCTGTCCCTACATGTGGCTACAGTTCGGCAGGTGAGCCGTTCGGCGCCTGCCTCTACAGCGGCTATAGTACCACAGCAGAGGGCCTTTTCGGCGCCGTCTTCCCCTGTCGTGCGTTCATACAAGGAAACAGTAGATTATCTAACAATCTTCCCTAATCCTAAAGCAAACCCTTGTACCCCTCCATGCCGATCATCTCTTTCAGCTCCGTGAGTCGAAGACATCCGAGCGGCTTGGAAAGGACGTCCGTGAGTTGCCGACCAGTTTCGACGAACTCGATGACGATCTGCCCTCCATCGACACAGTCCCTGAGGAAGTGGAACTTCACATCGATGTGTTTGCTCCGATCGTGCAGAATCGGATTCTTCGCGAGGGCGATGGCGGACTGGTTGTCCACCATCAGTGCTGGTGGGTGAGCTTCCACGCCGGTCAGCTCGCCCAGCAGCCAGATAGCCACACAGCTTGGCACGCCAATGTGGCTGCCGCTACGTACTCGGCCTCGCATGTAGATAGCGCCACCACCTTCTGTTTCAGCGACAGCCATAAAATTGGAGCCGACCCAAGGAAGACGAGCACGCCAAAGGTGCTCTGCCGTCCATCGATGTCCCCTGTCATGTCTGCATCGCTGAACACAGTGAGCTGCAGCCTACTCCCGCCGGTCTTGGGGAACACGATTCCCTGATCCACCATCCCCTTGATATGGCTTCGTAGCCACTTCACTGCAGCCCAATGATCCTCTCTGGGATCCTCCATGAAGCGACTGACGTAGCCCACGGCGAACGCAATGTCCGGCCTCGTGTGGACTAGGTAGCGCAGACCACCGACAATGCTCCGGTATAGTGTTGCATCCACCTTCGCCACGGTACTAGCCTTCGTCAGCTTCAGCCGCTCCTCCATCGGAGTCACGCATGGCTTGCACTCAGACATGCCGCTCCGCTCCAACAGCTTCGAGGCATACGCGCTCTGACCGAGCGTGAGTTCCTCCTTCCCCTATCTCACCTCGATGCCGAGGTAGTAGGATAGCGCCCTGAGATCCCTCATTCGAAAACGAGCTGCCATTTCGTGCTTAAAGCTATCGATGTCCTCCGTGCGCGCACCGGTGATGATCAAGTCATCCACATACACGCCGACGACGAGCTCCTCCTTCCCCCATCGCCGTGTGTAGAGCGCGTGCTTGGTTGCGCACCTCGTGAATCCAAGCTCACCCAGCGTGGCGTCAAGCTTGGTGTTCCATGCTTGCGGGGCTTGCTGCAGCCTGCAGAGCGCCTTGCGTAATAGGAGCACCTTGTGCTCCACTCCCTTGACGGCTAATCCTAGAGGTTACCTGATGTCGCAGAACCGACCAATTTATAAGAGTACAAGTACAATGGCAGCCCGCAAATGGTCGCACTGTCATACTTGAACTTATATAAACTCGTAGTCCGTCGAGTACCACGACGGGTCTCGATAAACGATTTACAACAACCAAGATCGTACATGATTCAACATACATGCCACATATTACATAAAGTTCACAGATACCTTTCTCCATCAGAGTATGAATAAAAGTTATTACAAACCGAGTTTGACAAATAAAGCGGAAGCAATTAAGTTCGAAAATAAAGTTTCCAACATAGATTGATACAGTGCCAAGTAGGATCACGGTCCACAAAAGCAAAGACAGGGATTAATAAAGAAGCCTGCCCAAGGCTTACTCCTCATCCATGGCAGGATAGAAACAACTCTTGCAATAACCATGATACACAGTGCCATCTGCAACAATGGGAAATAAAACCCTGAGTACGAGAAGGTACCCAGCTAGACTTACCCGTCATAAACCAGAAATAAAATGACTCCAAGGATTATGCAAGGCTGTATAAGTGGGGATAGCTTGACAACATTTTGCATAAAAGCGGTTAACTTAGCTATACAATTATGGTTCCAATATCAGGTTAATTATAACTATCCATCTCTAGATTATCAACTATCCTATGCCAAACAGGTGGTATATCCATTAAAAGCATACAATAGTAACCATAGCAGATATTGTAATTCCATATTCATTCGAACCATCATGTTTCATAACACAGTTACTACGATGTTGGGACTAGCCAAGTTTCTCACTATCCAGGAGAGACGGCGATTCGAATCGATTTCAACCAGCTGGGAATTTATTCCTAACACAAACCCAGGTCTACCAGCCACGATAACCTTAGGTCACCTTTGGTACAACTCAGGTACACATTTCATGGGTCCGTACCGTGCCGCACAATCTGGAACACCAGATGCCAGGACGTTCAGGCCTAGCCTGCCCTTGGGCTCAGTCTGATCGTTCCCTGGAAGGAGCGCACAACAGAACGGGTCTCGGCCTGAGTTGAATTACTCGGCTTCGTGGTCGGAATGAGTTATCCGGCCAGCTAAGTGAGAGGCATGCGTTCAATCTTGTCAGAAGCGCCAACAATGGTACGGTCCTTAATCAACACAGACGGGGATAGATCCAGACCCAAGACCTCAATGTCTTGTTCCTTCTCTATCGACATCCCGCCCGGTCTCCATTTACATTACCCCATGGTTCTTTTCCACGATAGCAAATATAGCCAACCGTGCTCCGGTATCCACCTATATCTCGCAGGTGACAGGAAATCACCCGACTTCTACCGGTCTAAGCATGGCTAAGCATATATTCGATCCTAGACCCATACCGGTTAAAGGTGTAATATCTGGACAAGGAATTTATATGCATCAAGTGGTTCCATTCAACTCTTATAACCTAATGCATCAATCATAAGTACTTAAGTAAACATTTGTAAAATACTAGGAGACTTAGAATACTCCGGGGCTTGCCTCGCAAAAAGGAAGTAGGGCGGTGATCAGGATACTCCGGAAGCTCTTCAGGATTTTGCTCCTCGCCTTCGGGAGCTGCGACTTGAGGATTCTCCTGCTGGTCCCCTTTCTCTACTTCGTCGAATTCCAGCAACGTTATTTCTTCCTCCGATCCTAGATGCATGAATATGGCATAAGATATTACGAATGCATACATGCGTACAAGTATAGCATGGTGACAAAGGATGAATGCATTCATATAAGTATTCATAACCGCATGGTGTTAACAAGTGCATCATGTTTATTGAGTAGCTGCATATCTCTTCTCGATTATTTAATTAACTACTTCCACAATGCATCTACTATATCACAAAACAGCAGCTAGTTGTTTTACTCATAACTGGAGTTCTACTAATCCAAATGTAGTGATCCTGGACTTTCTGGAAAGCTTATCAAATTATCTACAACTTTGTTATTAACCATTTTTACAGCAAACATCATCGC